CTTCCCCTCCTGGGCAGGTCTCACAGCCTACGTAGGAGGGAACAGTGCCAGCTGGTAGGGCAGCATGATGGGGGCAGCAGACAAGAGCCCCAGGGTCTCTCCGCCAATCAGAGCCAAGAGGCGGAGCTGCCATGGAATGCTCACAAAATTGGCTCTTAAAGCCAGGTCAAAGTCACAAAAATGTCTTTGTATCGCAGAAAATTAAATGGGTCCCTACCCATAAGTGTCAGTATCTACCCATTGCCTGGAAAGGGTCTAACTCACTTTTGGTGGTACATAACTAATAGCCTACAGGCTCTTTTTATTTAATTTATCCTGAAACTAGAGTCTTTTTTAGGTTGAAAAGCCTTTCCTCACTACTCTGTGCAGCCTTCTTAGGTTTTCTAGCCACAAATGCATCATTTATTAAAAATGTACATCAACAAAAAGAAACACAGTTTACATCATTTTCATTCTGTGGAAAGCACATAAAAGAATTACTTCCCTCCTGTGTGCATCTTGCGTGCAGGGGCCAGGATCCTTCTTTGCAAGTTCCAGGAGATAACCCTGGGCAGCTGTCAAGGATTGCTCCAAGCCCAGCATTTTAGAAACTCTTCTGAGTTTTATTTTACTACAGAATCATTCAATCACCATTTGGCACCTATTTTGCAACAGATGACAGATGTCAAAGAACTACAAAGACCTCTGAAAAAGTCAGACCCTCAGCTGGTTTTGATGTCAAACTCTTGCCAGAATGAAGGACACATCTATTGCAATTGTCATATCACTCAGATTTTTCCTCCCAAAGCTGCTTTTGTTGAGACATTTTCTAAGCATTAGCTGAAATGAAGGAAAGCAACGTTTTATTTGGAATGTTACCTTATGAATGAATAATGATGTACATGTATGAAAGAGAAAGAAACAGCTAAATTACAAAAGATGAGAGCCAGGATACGTAGAACTGGAATCAAGGGAACCAGTGATGTAGTTAATGGAGACTGAAGGACTTTGTTTAATCAAGCAATCTAAACCTGTCACAGCCTGCCAATTCTAAGGACTGCTTGGTACAACTCAGTGCCCTGGAGCAACTTAAGAGCAGCACAGTGGCTGCTATAGCTTATATTAGAGTAATACAGTCCACAAAGGAGTGTAGGCCAAGTGAGAATTAGTATAGTGGAAGAATGCTCCCCGACATGCTTCCAGCACCAGAGTAGAAGATTTCCACTAAAGGAACCTTCTGCTGGCACAGAGCCAAAATGGAATTTTCAGAATTTAATTCCTTGGCACTGTTGAGTTATGTAAAGAGCCAAAATTGTAACCGAGTGTCTAGGTCTGTGCTGACTAAAATAAGCTGATCATGTAGAAGAATGTAAGATTTAGACCAAAAGGAATTTGTATCTAGTTCTTATTTTAATTTTGATTTTTGCTGAAACACAGACTCACATACCAGCACAGCTCGACTTTTAAAAAAGGTATTTCCAAGCATAGTGCTCTTCAGTCTCTCTTTGTTTCCCCTAGTGTTCCTTCCCCCCAGTGTGCTTCCCCCCATATGTGTGTGTGTGTGGATAGTTATAGATAGATAGATACCTGTCTATATCTATCTATCTATCTACACCCCCCCCCATATATAAATCTAGGTCTATAGATATCTATATAGATATATATTATATATTTATATAGATATATATAGATGCGCATTGTATATATAGATATAACAAGAGCAGTTCCTGACTACTTTTTACTTGTATAGCAAGTAACATCATACGATAGTTTTCTGATCCAGGGTCCTTCAGCAATACAAAGACACAAATGAATAAATAAAGACCAATGAATCCCAAATTAAAAAGCTGTTTTATTAAAAATAATTTCAAAGTCTACTAAGGCCTGGTATTTCTGGAAGTGATGCTGTAGTTTTGTGCGGTGATTCCATTTTCACATTTACTTATTAAATATTAAACTTAAACAAAAGACTGCACCTCTGGAATACCAGATGAGGTACTAATAGCTACTTCAGATCTTTTTGTCTGTTTACAGAGGGAAACAAATTGTCTTCATAATAAAATATACACAATAACATGGAATGCAATATTTTTATATTTACCAAAACATGGTTTTTATCAGTATTTAGCTGAAAATCATATGAACCTGTATTGAATATATCTGAAATACAGGTATTTATACAGGTTCAAAGTCCACAGGTAAATGCAATGTGAGCTATGTCCTAAAAGATGGTAATGCAAAAATGCTACTGCAAAAGCTGTTGTTTCCAAATCTTGGATTTTCGTTGACCATAGTGTTACTCTAAATTCTAGCTGGCATAAATCCACCGAAACCTGAAGAGGTATCCGGATGTAAAGCTGGAGTAGTGCATTAATGAATGAAATCCATTCCTTTTAGCAGAGCAGGCACAAATCCAATCAGACACTTGTAAACCTCACATATGAAGTACAGCCTAATGCATCTTAAAACATTCAGGCAATTGCGCCAACTGTCTATTAGTAATAAATCATTATGATTAAAGGAAAACTGTCAGGTAGTTTAGGCCTGAATAAAAGGCTACTGCTACTAATTATACTAAATCAAAAGCCTCAAAAAACCCTAGATTTTTAAAGTTCCTTGTTCTAATTCTTTTAAATATGCTTATTAACTTGACAGTATGGCTTTAACATTACATAAAATATTAACAACTATAAACGTGCACAAAAACCTCACCACAAAAATCACAAAGCCTGAACTAAATTTTGACCAAAAAAAAGGCAACCACATATTTTATTACATTTTATTTTTAGAAATACTACACCTGTGAAGAGTATATATATACTTCACGGGTATGGCAAAATATAGTTGATTGTATTACGAGGATGTAACTGGATTGGTTACATTCTGGAAAATAAAAGTAACATTCTCTTTTATCCTTTCAAGGAAGGGATCATCCAGAGTTTGATGCTGCCCAGAGAAGTGTTTCCATTGCATCAGCTGTGACATGGAAAGAGATTTCTTTGAAGTAGGCTTCTCATGATTTTTTCCAAGCTGGCAACCTCTATACGTAGAGAACATTTCTGCAGAAAGATCTGAAAAGTGATGCAGTAAAAATCTTTTTAGAAATTTTCTTAAAGCTTCTCCTGCTTTCAGTCACAAACCTAGGACTAAGATGAACAAGCCTCTGCAGAATCAGATCCTAAACCAATAGTATAGTCCTAGAAGGGAATTGTAACTTTCTCCACACATGATGGGGGAAAAATTAGCAAAAAACTGTACATGAGAAGCACCTGCATTTTCTAGCTTTCCTACAACTGACTGGAAAAAATGAGAGTGTGCACCCTGAGGCGGGCTTTGGCTTCCTTGATGAGGCGGGCTTTGGCTTTCTCAACAACAATCCGCACATCACGATGAGAAACATGCTCAGGTGGGATGGGCTCCACCTTTCCCCTAAGGGTAAGGGTGTGTTTTCTTCTAGGTTGGCAGATCTCCTCTGGCGGGCTTCAAACTAGGCCCATCGGGGGAAGGGGAAGATGAGGGAGGAGGAAGCCTTGGACC